TCGACGAGCAGCGGACACACGTTGCTACCGCATGCTAGAATGCACTTGGCCGATGACACGCAGCACGCCACGTGTGGTTAGCACGCGACGAGCTGCATTAAGCGCTTGATGATTAGCCACCAAGCGAACATATGGCTTCCTCCTCGTGTACGCTCGAATGTGCGCTCGATGCGACACCCGTGTATGACCAAACGCCACCACTAGGTGTGCGACTTAGTCCGGAGGGCTAAGAAGAACCACCCTTTCGCGCAAAAGTGTTCTTCGCGAGTCGAGAACGTGCCTCGATCTAGCGTCACCGTGTCAATCTTACTGTTCCGAGTCGAAATTTTGCTTCTACATCAATCCTGGTAAATTTCATCAAACTTAAAGGATCAATGAAGAGAATCTGAAGATCTGAAGAGATCTAAGGAGGAGATAACACCGTTATTCTACCTTGATGCAGGAGGTGCAAATAGTAGCTTATTGCCATTTTTTTTACGTGGCAAAATCTTGGAAAATCACTCGTTCAAGAGAGCATTAAAATATTTTATTTAATATTATTTAATATAACATATTCAATTTAATGTTTTTAATATTAGTAATAAAGAGCATATTAATGCAGCTTAACATTCGGTTATCTCAATATATTCTGTCTGCAATTTATTTGTATTATTAATTTCAGTCAGCATTATATTAATTACTTAACTTATTCATTAAATAGAGTATGTGACTGAGAAAAATATTAAATAATTAAATGAAGATTGATGGGGTTAAAAATGGGTAAGTACTAGTTGACGAATAACAGAAGATTTATGAAGCTACTGAATTACTTGTCTAGTGATAAACTATGAATTCTTGAATTTGAATACCATTTGAATGCGATAAATATGAGTGTAATCTTATTAAGGGACTCAACGTTGCTGAATCTCGTTTAATATACTTAGAGTTGCTGTAAAGTTTACGTACATCGGTCTATCGGGGATTATATTTCATGCAAAATATTGCAGGAGCCTCTGTATATTTAATCGGACTGTCAGCGACGTCGCGTTAATTAACGTGTGTGTGTGTTTTTTTTATCAACTTGTATCTACACGAGAGTCAGTGTTACAAACTGGTATCCGGAGTGTCATAACGGTGTATCCAGTAGTAGGATGCTGCATTGGGAATCCAGGATGGAGAACGTAAGCTACGATATTTCATATATTTCCGGATTCAACGGCACAATAGTGTCGCGCGCGCGATGTCAATATATATCAGATATATATTTCATATATATGTCCTGTACTTTTTTCCAACACGAATAAAAAATAAAAAGAGATTAAGACAAAGTCAAATTTATTATTCAACTTAATCTTATATATATATATATATATTTTTTTTTTTTTTTTTGAGATAGTCGAACGTTAAGTAACTTTCAAGTCCTTTTTTAAAGAAAATTCAACGGGAAGAACGTGGTAATAAATGACCATTATTCCAAGCTTGACAGAATTTGCAAGGTTAATTTGAAACTAAAATTTCGACACTTCGGATGATTGTTCGACGGTGAAACGCGTCGAGCATTTTATTTATATGTATACCTGGCTGCTGCCCCGAATCGCTAGCATTTTTATCGGACGGTCTGGCCAGCCGCTTTGAAACGGACACAATGAATCTGCGGTGTATCATCGAGAAACTTTTGCAAAATTAAACGGCCGAGTAGGAGATCAAAGTTTTATTCCAATTGACAGGATGCATTGCGCTCTCTGGATTTTTCGCGATGCAACAACGTTTGCTGCGTGTTTCTCGCTCCTTTCCTCTCCTTTCTTCTCTGTCTGTTTTTTATATTTATACATTGCAGAAGTGTATCGCTTTATGGACGGAATGACAAAAAATCTATATACAAGAGAGGGAGAGAAACGATATATCCATAATGATTAGCAGCCAACACAGCTCGCTGCATCGTTTATTACGCGATCTTGGACAAACCGCGCGCGTAAAGACCATTAAAGACCGACTCGGATTTGCATCGATTCGACGGTTTGCTCATCCGCCGGCTCCACGCCGTCGATTTCCCTTTCTCCCAACCCCCGGATCCTTTTGAAGGTTCAAAGTGTACCATCGTGTTCGCATTATACTCACAGATGCAAGCGCATTCGAGCCTCGTGTCATCGCCTTGCGTCATGCATATTTCTCCCTCTCGCATCTCGTATTCCTTTCACATTCTTCGATCGTCGTTATCAAGGAGCATTCGGGCCTATCAGTCATTCTATTTGCATAGACCTCGTACCGTCAGGAGTACCGTTTCGATAGCGCGCACAGAAGAATGTTACGCGAGCAAGGTTGCGAACGAACGCGGATACTTTTTAGCAAAGTCAGCCGTATTTAATCCTAGATCCGCGCAATGTGTCATTGCCAGCCTGCACACGTTACATGATAAAACATCAAGATAATTGTAAATTAATTCATTATACATTGGATGTTCAGATATCAAATAACTGAAAGTGGTTAATCCTTAGTTATCCCAAGACCCCCTCCCTCCCTTTGCCACTGTGAAAATTTAGTCCGAGTTGTGGTGATCTTTAATAGGACTTCATTGGGGTGACACACACAGCTCAACGTCGTGAATTAGAATTGAATGCGAGGACTACCAGGCGACTGAAAAGCCGAAAGTTAATTACGGGCGATAAGCTCCTCTCGCGAGCGAACAACCACGCTCGCAGCCGGACAATCGATAAATTTCGATCGCCCACAATTCGCCATCGTTTCGTGCATTGTCCGGCGAGAAATACGTCGGGCAGAAATACGTGCGTGCGCGCTAACGCATTGTATCGGCCCGTGCCACAATAATTCGCGCGGCAAATAGCCGCGCGCATTCGCTCGGCTTGCCGTGGCGGGAAATTCGCAGAGAATCGCGGATCTAACGAAGTCGATTGGGGGTCGCGTACATTACGCGCGTATTACGACGGTCCTCGGCAGTTTTCGTTCGACAAACGTCACGAAGAAGAGACGTCTCTCGCTCCACTCGACGTGGCGCCACGCGCGTTGGAAAGGATGAAAAAAATAGAACCCGGGACAATTTCGCGCGCGCGCACGAGATCGTACTCGCGCGGAATAATAAATAACCGTTCAATCCTTACCTCGCCTCGCCTCTCACGGAGAGGACGACGACGGGAAAGCCGCGAGCGCGGCGATCGGGAGAGCGCGCGTTTTCTGGCAGTTAAACGGGATCCCCTATGACAGGAAAAAAAGCGCGCCGGAATCCCGCGTTCGGAATCAATAAAGTTACCCCCCTACCACAGGTCCCGGGAGTCGAAATAAAACGACTTGGCGATGTCGCCGAGTGGTGGTGCCGTGTCTTCCGTTCCCCGTTCGTATCCGCGGGGGTGGAGGACCCACCCCCGCGCTCGTCTCCCCTTGACGCGCGGCGGTTGCTTTTATTATCTACGTTATGTGCGTCATATACGGCTGCTTACACACAGGAAAATACATACTGCATTCGAGTGAATGTTGCCTGTTTCAAGTATCTCACGAGTTGATATACCTACATCCGTGGATCTATCACAAATTCATCGCAAGCGTCAAATTTGTTCAGAGCGCATGTCCTGAATCCTAATAAGTCTAGCGTTTCCGTGTCAATCTAATTAAAACAAACATTCGGTTTGCTCACTGCACCGAGACAGAAAAATGTCTAAAGTCAGAAAAATAATAAAAATAAAAAATATACGTATGCATGGGAGGCCACGAATTTTCACTTGTTCCGCGTAAAATTTCACCGAAAGAAACGTTCAGGGCGAGTCGAACGATGAAAATATTACGCGTGATCGCGGCTCACGATGACTGATCGATGATCAAACGCGAGGTTTCGAGCTCCCTCGCCGGTTTATCTTGACTTTTTCCCGCGCGCCGCACCGACGGTGTTTCGAAACTCGATTGCTCTTGCCCCTCGAGCAATACGTTTAAATGTATTACCTGACGCAGCAGTTAACTAAACTCTAATGGACTAATTATCCCGGCAGCTCTTCACCGAGGGAGGATGTTAAGACTGACGAAATTACGAATAAGTTTTCGGTAAATTTCCAAACAACGTTATTCAGCGCCGATATACTAGGCGCCACATGGAGGTTCGTTAAATTCGTTTGCAAATGAGAACGTAAAATAATGACAATGCGCACTCTTTCTGCGGGGAATTGCGCGGCGAATAAAATTTCTCGCGAATTTATAAAGCCAGCTGGTGAACCGACAGAATACGGAAATAACGATAGAAAACGGAAATCGCGTAAAGTGTAAAAATACGCCTGAAAAATGTTCTATCTTCAATTCCGTTTCACCAGTGACGCACGACAATCGTTTTAATTAGTCTCACTGCGTTCAGAAGACGATCCTACAGCGCTGAGTGTCGCCAAAAATTGGCACATTCGCAAATACGGCGTTGTCTCGCGCGAGGAGATCGCACCGGCTCTCAAAGTATCGACCTCTCCGACACACATACGTCAGTGACAAAATCGTCGAGCACGAGATGAAGGGAAGGGAGAGAGCGAAAAGAAGGACGAGGCCGTGCAGAAAGTCACAGCACTCCAAGACTCGACTGAAGCACTCACCGATTCGAGGCGGGACAAAAGCTCGGTCGGCTACGTTCAGTTTTGTTTCTCGCGAACGCGGAAACGTAACGAGCCACTTGGCCACGTTGCATATTTCAGAACGGGCTGGCAAACTAGCCAGCCAGCCAGCCAGCCCTTCGCTGGAAAACCCGGACGGGTATGGAGCTTGTTATGTAAAATCGAGGCTATGGTGTTTGGGGAGAGATCGCTAATTAAAAAAGAATTAATTGTCCAACGTCAAGCGTGTCTTCTTTTTTCATCCTTTTTTTCCTTCTTACGCGTTGACACGTTATTTCACGTTTTCAGGTCGCTGCGTTCTATACGAAATCCCGCGAGTGTCGTTAACTAATACCGTCGGTACGCGGCCGGCTTTTCGCGAGAGACGCAAGAAACGCGTCGAACGTCTTACGAGTCGCGCGGTTAATTATTGAGAAAGTGACTCACCTCGCGCAGCTCCTTGATCTTCAGGCCGCCTTTGCCGATGATGCATCCCGCTTGGCTCTGATGCACCAACATACGTACGTCGATCTCGTCGCTACCATGACGGGAACCGTTCTGAAACCGTGTCTACAATAAATCGTGGAAATCTCAATGCATCAGCCGACTCCACTGTGACCCGCGTCGGACGGGCATGACTTTGTCGCGGTCGCGAAAAAAGCGCGCGGAAATATTGAATTTCTCGAGGTGAAGGCTCACTCAAGACTCGAGTGAGTGAGAACCCACTCGCGGAGCGACAGCGGAAACACACCGGCACTCGGAATCGCCAGAGCGAATGTTTAGCTGGAACTCAGAGGGGACTTTTAATCCGTGCGAGTGAGCGTTTCGATCGATTAGAGCGAATTTGTTTGTGCGAAACGGCGAAGTGCACTGGACTCGCTCTTCAATTTCGAATGGAAACATTCACTCGGCAATTCAGAGCGGAGAATACACGAGCAGAAAAGTCGCTCGAATTCGAGCGACTCGGTCTGTCGGTCGTTCTACTTCTCCAGTCTTGAGGGAGGAAGGAAACCAGAGAGTACGAAGTTGTTACGTGCAAACGATCGAAGGGTCGACAAAAAAAAAAAGGAAAGAAAAAGGGGAGAGGGATTAACGAGATTAAAACTCGGAAACTTACCTCCTCTAGATTAGGTACGACCTCGTTCAACACTTGCAGAACAGTGGGCAGGTCCGAGCTGATGGTGAGCACCCTAGAATCAGAAGGAGCCCGAGGATTATCTTGGTCTCGGCGGCAGCGGCGTTTTGCGATTCTCGCGTACGTGCTATTGACCATATGCAGTCCTGTGCGAATGAGACACGTCTCGTGCGTATGAGATGCGTACGCATGTATTACATCAACCCAGATACGATACCACCCCGCGCGCGAGCGCGCTTTACTTCGGTGTTACCCGTTAGAGCAGGGCGTTTGGAACAGCGTTTCCGGCGAAATTCCAACGCGAAACTCCGATGGAGCAGTGGAGAGAGTAAGAGAGTAGAGTAGAATAGAGAGAGAGAGAGAGAGAGAGAGAGAGAGAGAGAGAGAGGAGAGAGAGAGAGTAGGTAAGTGAGTGAATGAGAGAGAGAGAGAGAGAGGGGGGAAGGGAGAGCAATTAAATGCACGCGGGTCGATCGGATGCCGCGCGCTTTGCTACATTGCATTAGTCACAGCATTTAGATACATTATGAATGTTTATTATATTCCGCGAGGCCGCGTTCACATACCTCATATTGAACTCGACGGTTAACACAGTTACGACGATACTGACATTTAACGACAAATAATATCACGCGCCAACAATGGCTGCATTAAAATCCGACAAAGCTCTAATGACGCCAGTGTATGTCACTCGATAATTCGCGCCACTTGGCCGCGAGAGCGCGCGCATGCGATTATCGCGGCGCGAATACCGCAAACCAAACGCCATTATGTTCCTATCAATTCTAACGGGGACGTGCGACCGCCGAATTAACAGCACTCTTTGTTAATAACTGCATACGACGGCTTCACGTGTCGAAGTCTCGTTGTCGATGAATCTTTCATCGCAACGACGACACAAATTCAGGGTCTCTCTCTCTCTTTCTTTTTTCTCTCTCTCTTTCTCTCTCTCTCTCTCTCTCTCTCTCTCTCTCTCTCTCTCTCTCTCTCTCTCTCTCTCTCGTCTTTGACTCGTCGTGCGTTTTTGACACTAAGTCACAAAACAGTTTGGACGTACTTCGAGCACTGAAGTTATGGGGCGCATCAAAATGTTAAAATTGTGAGACACTGCTGACGCATTTGCGTAGAAATCGACAGTACAGAGTGCGAAAATAAATGTAAGATAACGTGACGACATGTTAATACGTATCAATACACTCTACTATCATTTCGACTTCTGTCACAACCGATTTATATACAAATGCGTCAGCAGCGCTGCAATTCTGGTGCTCGAAATGTGTCCAAACCCCGTCTTGTGACTCAGTGCATCCTCTGAATTTCTTGGAGTAAAATTCTACTGGGAAAGCGGCGCGACACAACCGAGTCGCTCGAATTCGAGTGACTTCTCACTTATAAGAACAAATTCTCACTCCAAATCGAGTCGAACGAACGTTTCCGCTCCGGATTGAAGAGTGAACTGGGCAACTACGCTGAGAAAAGGACTTGAAAATTTAATTGCCGGATATAAAGTTGTGATCTCTGTGAAACACAGTTTATTTTTATACAAAATGAAATTCATCTCTGCGAATAAACTTTATATCCCGTAAAAGAATATTCCTGTATTTTTTTTCTCAATGTATTATGGAATTGTTCGGAACGAATCAATATACAACTCCGTTATCCCCTAGATTTCTATTGTGTTTTTAGCGCTCAGAAAAACAGCATTATACTGCTAACAAAGGCGATTACTCGGTTTACTTTGCTTTTTTTAAGCTTTTTTTATTCGAATATTTCAATATTGGAAAAAGAATATTTTCTCGATAACTTTTAAAATATATTCATCACAAAAGAATTTGAAAAAAATTTATTATTATATATTCAAACAGAGGATTTTTTTTCTTTATAGGAATATTGTAAAACTTTATCGAAGAAAAAGTCGATTCAACTTTGTGTACTCAAGCAAATCAAATTTTCTTTTATCTAATATTCTTGACGAATCTACTACGATTTAGAATGTATATTGAATAAATTTGCTGCTTATGACAAATTTATGACAGATTTTCCGGTATATGAATTATGAAATACTTGAAACATTTACTTGAACGTAGTGTATATTTTTCCGCGTGTGTAAGGAAAACAAAATTATTCCGATCGAAGAATCCATTTCAACAATTCCATAAAAGCTTCCCTGCTAATGAGTTCCGCCGTTCCGCAGGGACAGATTCAGCCCAATCTACTGAAACATTCACTCGTTCACAGAATAAGAATTCACTTGAGTGAGACATTCACACTTGCTCGCTTTGGGTGACATTTGTCACTCGTCTCAGGTATGATTTCGCCCCAGAAAATTCAGAGTGGACAAGATAGGGCCTAGCCGACTCGGCGCGCTAAAAGGGTTAACCTTTATTAGTTTCACGACGAATACCCGAAGTTAGCCGCGCAGACTAGTATAGTCGGCATTAGTAGTCGGTGAATCGCGCTCCGTAAAAGATGATAGCGCAGTTTTCGAGAACCGCAGAGCGGCTCGCGTGCAGCAATCGCGAACCGGCGATCGACCGTGAGAGCTCGGGCTGGATTCACCCCCTCGGCAACGCGAATGCGGTATTTTCCCGACCTACATCCGTCCAGCTTCAATCGCATCGCTCGCGATCACAATGACCGTATTTACGAGCGTCCATCGGATTGTCGTCGAAAAACAGGACCGGTAATGTGCGATCCAATTCGCCGCCGGGGTATACGTCCTCTTCTCGCGCGCCGCGATCGCCTTTCTTCCCGGCTGAATCGTCGCCGGGAAGGAAACGACGAGACATGAAATCCCGAGAATATCGTCCTCCTTTCCTCTTGTCTCTCGATATTAACATTATCAATAATCCCGTCGTCCCGGCGTCGCACGCGGTGATGGAAGTGTACACAGTTTCTCCATTTTATCAGCTCGCGATCCGCGAGCCTACGAGAGAGCACGCTTCCGTTTGCAGCGGCGCGAAGAAATGGTTTTAATTTTCACAAATTTGCGAGAATATCAGGGGGAAAGCTCTCACGTGTCAATAATTTTATTCGCTTCACCGATATACTTCGTGCGTTCGATCTTTGAAAGGAGGACGACAGTTCGAGTTCTTTCGACCCCGCGACTTTAATAAACACGCCTAAGATTTCCCGATTATTGTCTCTCCCCCGATCGAAAACAAACACGGAACTTTTCCGGGCGATGACCGGCGCGAATCCATCCCGGCTAAAACGGTTCTCCTTTCCCTCTGTTTCTCTCTCTCTCTCTCTCTCTCTTACATATGCTGTTTCTCTCTCTCACTCTCTCTCTCTTTTTCCTCCCTCCTCGTCGTCCACTTCCGTTTTCCTTCCTCGTTGCAACGAACTGTGCCGCGCATCTTCTATTCGACCGGGAACCTAATGTTGCGCACGTTCCGTTTCTCTATGGCAAAGTTCCGTCGTTTCCGCGACGGAAAAGCGTCCGCTCGCTAACTTTCCGAGTCGAAATTTTAGCCCTTTATTCTCTTTCGACCTAAACTTACTAACGTCTGTACATTCTAAAGGACCAGTGTATGTTTAACGTACATGTGGAAACTGGAGTCCTACTTAGCGCCTCTAAATGGCAGAAAACACAGGAAATGCCACTTGTAGGTTCTAAAGAGGACAAAGTTAGCACACTGGAAAACAAACATGTAAAAAATAAAAAAAAAAAAATTTATTCGGTGGTTACTAATATACTTATTTAACTTTGACATAAAATATTTGCCAAATAAAAAAATATACATTTTTTTTTTAAATCTCAACTTCTGACAACAATTGTTCATTTCATTTAAATGAAATGAACTTGTCCCAAATGATGATCACTCTGATATTTATACATCTTTAATCTATCCATCAATAGCTGCAATTTTATCAAAAAATAATTTAAAATTTTAAATGCTACAAAATAGGACTAAAAGCTTGACTGCTCTCTTTATTTGTAAGATATAAAGTTTATTCGCAGAAACAAACTTCATTTCACAAAAGTGAACTTTATATCCCGCAAATAAATGTTCAAGTATTTCAGTGCATGTATTATTAGTAAAACAATATATATATATATATATATAAAATTTATTTTTTAGATATCCTTTTTTCTCTGTAAAGATTAATACTTTAAGGCGCATAATTCATGGAACATTCTAGTAATTTTTTTTTAATGAAATATTGTCAAAAACACTCTAAATAACACATTTATAAGATTTCAACTGCCCGATCCTAAGTGGTCCCTATTGCTACCAGTGATACTTAAAGGGTTAAGTGGAATCAAGAGAGGTCAAAAGAAATAGACAGGTTTCGGAGTATTAAAGTAGTCACTGAATGGAATATTGAGGCCAGAAATAGGGTGAAGATTTCGACTCAGGTTAACGCACGTATCAAATAACATTCGAACACCGCGCTGGATCGTTGGGAAGGATCTCCTCCTAAACGCGCAGCGATCGATCGGACAAACGACGGTCTCGCGATGACTCTCGCGTTACCTTCCTTCGCACGCAATCCTGTGTGCTTAAAGGCGTAAAGGCCTTCATTACAGTGTGTTAATTACACTGACTCGTATATGACACGTGCACTGCTAGGAATCGGCGACGCTCCCGATCGAGGAAATTGCCAGCACCAGCTACTAGTTCTCCTACTTAACCCATCACGTGAACAAAAACAAGACGTGTTTTGCACCGGTCAACTGCGGACTATTGACGGCGGAGCGATCTGGTGAGAGAAATCGAGCTCGTAGACGCGCGCAAGTTGATCGGTATATACTAATCGGCAATACTAATCTAACCTAGGAGTCACGACGACGTTATCGTGCGGACAATTACGGGGTTTAGTTGGTTGACTGGTATGGTCGAAAGTCATCCCTTCAAGACAACTGCAGGGTGTCGGGCGTATGCGATCGTTTGCAGAAAGGTTGCGACACTTTTTCTAACAAGCTTACACAATACAATAATATTGTAAGTTACTTTTATACACATATCTCAATATTTCAAAATCACATATTTAAATATCTCGTATTTGCATATAAAAATTTGACAGCTCTCTCAATACTGAAACTCGTGCATAGAGATGTCGTTGAATTCGCTAAACTGTCCAGAAACTTGCTTGAAAAGAGAAATGTCGCGACTTTTATACAAAACGACCGTACAAACCGAGAGACTCGCGAGAGGCTTCGGCTGACTTATCGTGGCATATCGGTGTATGACGTACTATCGTTTCACGCTGCTAAGGGAGGGAAAAGGAGAAAGAGACACCGTGGAGACTAACGGCGGTCAAGCACGGGTGTCTCTTCATCGGACTTGGTAGCGCATAAAGCGTCGAAGGGTAATCGATCGAACAATTCAAGGCCCGACGGTCGAGTGTCTTATGGGAACCGCGCGCGGTACCCGTGAGTCACGTGAAATGACACATCTGGCAGGAATTCGGTCATCTATATGTGATACGTCGTCTTGCCGGGAGCGATCGAGCGGTAACGCCGACCGACGTGCGAATAACATCGCCGTTTCCTTTGTATTATCGCACGAAAGGTCCAGGGATGAGTTAATCGAGTTTCGAGTTACTAAGTCGCTAACAGGACACGAATTGTTTAATGAAGTCTGCCAACACGTCGAATACCGCTGATCGACGCGTATAATATTAGAGCGCGTTTCTCATTAAGTTACATGCAAAGTGTAATTAATTGCAACTGAGCAATCGATTGCACGTTGCCGATGGAGAGTCCGTAAAACGAAGCGGAAGATAGATACGAGTATACCTTAACTCTGCTTCTGCACACGGAGAAAATGTAGTAAAAATTGAAACAAAACTTTTGTAATTGTTTGTTCCTTTTAAATAAAGGAATTTAGATTTAAATGAACACGTCATTAATACTCACCGAATAAATATTTCTTATCTTCCAGATATTTCTTTCTCTCAGTGTATAATAATTTATACTACAATTCCACAGTCTAGCTTAAAAAAAAAAACCGTTGCAAAGAGAGAAAGAGAGATAATTTTGCCGCAATTTTTACTACAATATTTTCTCCGTGTACAATTCTGATTAAAGTGAGACCTCAGAATTTCCGGAGGGCGTACCTAGAAGAAACAAATAAATAAAGTAAATAAATAGACCTCGCTCTGGCCGACCGACGTCGTATCGAGCATATAGAGATCCCGCCGAACATGGTCGCGCGGGGGTCATACGGGATCTTCTTCTTCTTTAGCTTCGCAACCCCTTTCGCGGCGCGAAATTCCGGCGAGATTTCCGGCCGGGTCGTATCCAGCCGCGAATAGAAATCGCATTAAGGACTTCCTCGAGGGTCTCAGTCGCCGGCGGTAAAAAAATTTATAGCCGCCGACGCGGGCGTCCCAGGACGAAGATCAGTTTCCCGCTTAACACCTGCGTGTGCATGCGTGCGTGTGCGTATGTACGCGACATAATTGCCCGGAGCAGGAGGAGAGGAACGACCGCGGCGAGGACTGCAGTGGATCAAGACACGCGCGACTATGTATCTCGCGATTATGTAGCGAAGAGAGGAGGTGCAAACGAATGGCCGAACGAGCGCAACAATCGAACGCAAGGTTTATTGTTGCGGGCTGCGACTTCGCGCCATCGTCAATGATGTGGTCTCCTCTCCCGACGAGATTCGTCGTAAGCACGTAGTGTTAATTCACATAGCAAAGCACACCGCGTCGGTAATGACTTTCGACTCGACAAGTTAATCCGTCACGCCGGAGTGTAACCTCTAATGACGGGACAACGAGCAACCACATGTACATATATATCCTGGGGTCAAATATCTAAAAGGTATTTTGTCGCGTTGAAAGCGTCAGTGTTCCGGCTCAACCGTTTTTCCGGCTCCGCGACGAAGAACGACGCGCGTGCAAAAGTATTAATCTCATTCGAGACACTTTCCGACGTTAACGTAATTTTTGAATATTTTCAACGCGATAACAACACCTTGAGTCACAACCCTTAACACTGAACCGGCCCTAAGGCCACGTGCGTCACATACCACATATTAGCTTCCGTGTTAGCCACATATTACAGACACCGTTAAGAACATATCCCCGACATCGTACGTGTGTGTATATACGTGTGTGGGTGTCGAGTGATATCGCACACGTCTTATTACGTGACGCTTACGCAGGATAAACCAAAAACTAAAACGAGAAGGATAGCATGTGAGAAAGTAAAAAGAAATCAAAGAAAAATCAAAGACAGAGAGAGAGAGTGTGCGTATATGTGTGTGTGTGTGTGTGTGTGTGTGTATGTGTGGGTGTGTGGGTGAATGGAAACTGAGAGAGAAATTTTAGTTTAGTCGATATTAGTTACAATTCAAGTGATTGCAAACGATCTCAGCCAAGCTTCGCGACCGTACACGCTGATTAAGACACATGAATTCGCGAGATTTTCGTCGGACAAAATTGAATTAAAAAGCGATCTGATTCGCGGAAAGGTGCAAAACGAATGAGACGGAGTGAGACCGAGTGAGACGTTGCGTTTCGACGCGCGACGGCAATGCTCAAGCGACTCGCTTGCAACCGCGTGCCAACGACAGGTGCAGTCGCGGAGCTGCATCCACTACGGCGACGCTTTCACTCACACGGCTATGGTCTCTTGTCCGCCAAAGTCACTCGAGGAAAACGCGCCGCTCTCGGGGATGTTGGAGCATAAATCGCTCGCGATCTCGAAAAAAAAAAAAAAAAAAAAAAA